TTAGTCATGTGAACAGCGAATTAAATCATCTCAGAACCGTAAATGTGTGTGTTGTGTGTACAAAATAACATAAATTCAGCTTTAATAATTTTCATTCTAAACAAAATCTGCTGATTTTAGAAGCATTGATGTCAGTATATCGGTGTCTGCAAATATTGGTTATCGGCCATAACAGTGATTTCGATATCAGATATCGGCCCAAAATTTTAATACCAGTGCATCACTAAAAAGAACTAAAACTAATCACGCAATTAAAGTGACAGTGTGTATTTTTCCTGTCGATAGGGCGCAGTAGATACCTAAATTGTTGCAAGCAAGCAGTATTTTTGTGCTGGAGTAAGACCTTACCAATGGATGCCCATTAGGGTCAAAAAGCCCTGGGGAGTGCAAACTTTAACAAAATAACAAGCACATCAGACTCCCTTTCATCACTGGCAACAAGTGAAGAGGTAGATTAGTAAAACAACGACGTTTAAGAATGACGAAAGTTTTGTAACAGATCAGTAAATGCATTTTGTTCTCATGGGCTCCCGTAGAAGGAAACATGGCATCTTATATGGCGTCGTCAAGAGACATAGGCTACATTCACACTGCAGGCCTTGATGCTCAAATTCCGATTTTTTGAGTAAATCTGATATTTTTTGTGTGTGGCTGTTCACACTATGACTGAAATGCAACATCAAACCCTCTCCAGTGTGAACGCTCCACGGCACCAAAGCGACCCGCATGCGCAGAAGACAAGAAGTCACACTCAGTGGAGCCGAAATCAGAAGAGGCGGAGTTGTGATGTAATCCTGATCCCGAGGATAAACAGCCAGTGAAAACTTTCTCACCTGTTAATTTTTCCATTTTGGGCTGGAAACTGTCTTAAAAACTATAAACTATTTTACTCCTTGTTCCCGCCGTCTCCCTGAATCATTATTCACCAAAAATGTTCCGATGTACATGCATAAACAAACGGATCGTTCTCACCTGCTTACACTGATGGTCTTTTTTCAAAACTCAGAAATTATTGCTTGTCTTTTTCGTTTCAACCTGCATCCTAGCAGCAACCACTTTGGTGCCTCTGGAGTCTGTGTTTGTTTACATCATGCTGCTTTCATTGTAATTGGAAAAAGGAGCTTCAAGCGCTTAACCTCTGATTTTGTTTTCTTTCTGGCCTTAGTGCGGGGGACGGATCGGGGTCGATCTGAATCTGGGGGAGACAGATCCCCCCCCCGTCCCCCACCCTATCTGCACACCTGCTTTACCGGAAGTGTTACTGACAATGGAGTCTATACAAAATATAATTTTTCTAGATTTAATTTGATGTAGAGCGACATTTTACACCTTTTGCAATTTCTGTTTCTCCAAAGTGAAGTTGTTCAAAGAGCCATCCACAACTGGTAAGATTTGAATTCTTAACACCTTTTCCACAGAACAAAACTTCTAAATATCTAAACTATTGAGATGGATGATATGCAGCCTCTAGATGCCTGACTGCAGCCTCTTCTAATTATTTGGTGTTTTAATGTCATGTGACAGGGGGAGTTGTCCTGGTGCAGAGAAAGGCAGAGGCAAGGTTTTAAATTTGCGTCTATTGCTTTAATGCCATCTTGAATCAAATCAAGTCACAAACACACAGAGCCACATCAAGTCAAATGCACCTTCTGCCTCTTAGATCCTCATCACAACTAAATGATCAGTGGATCGATTACAGCTGACTTTTAGGAAAGGGTGTAAAAGAGACAGGAGCTGAAACTGAAGAGTTTAGTGCAAAGGAACAACTTTAAGGAAATAGGGTAGTTTAAAAATATTTAAACCTATTTTATTAAAATTTTCAGTCTTTAGTTTCATAGAAATGTTTCAGATCTGGAAAAAATGGTATCAGAAATTGATAACCTCAGTAAAGTAAAATTTCCAATGCTTATAATGAGCTCCACTGGCCCAGGCCTGATACCATGCCAGACCTGTTTTACTTTAACAAAACCCGTCTTCAAATAAGCTAAAAGCTCTCAAAAGCAGCAAATCATGTCTTGGTCTACAGGAAGTCAAGAACCCAGAACATCCAAAACGCTGCAGACCTCACTTGATCAATCATCGTTCAAATTCAAACAGTCTTTTGTAGTTTTTTAGGTTATTGTAGTCTGATACTGAAATTTGTTTTCTGGTCTGAACAGTGTCGCCTGGTGTCTTGGTGGTGCCATGTGTGAAAAGATTTCCCTTCTTAGTCCATTATAAGAATTCAGATGAACAATTGGAAAACTGATAAAATTCCAACTCCATTATTTTCCTTTTCCTAAAAAGTAGTTTTACAGATGAAGTCAATCTTCAAATTTACTGATAAATTGGACTATACTAATACTTAAAGGGACTTTACGGAGTTTTGAATTTTTATGCTCGCGATTGCCCCTCAGGCCAAAAGCGTAACGGCAGCTTCAATAGTAGGCTCGTGCACGAGGCGCGCATGCTGTACGTGCACACTCCTTAACGAAAATAACAGCTGAGACGGTCCCGTGTGTGCGTGTGTGGCCCGGAGGACAGAGGACAGGAGAACGCGTAGCTAATTAATTAAATAATTTGGTTCTGTACCTTTCTCTTCAGCACAGCTGACAAAGGATTAAGATGGGTCAGTCCTCCTGCATGCGCTTGAAAAATTGCTCCAAAATGAAAGTTGAACCCATATCTTTTTATCTGTGAATTCAATGCCGTTCAGCGAGTCTCAAATAAAAATTTGGGCATCTTACTGTAAAAAAAAAAATACCATTAATGTAAAAAAGAAACTCTAAATAAACTAAGATCACATCCAGAATCAAACCCAGGTCTTCTGCATGAGAGTCTGACATCTTACTAGGTGAGCTAAAGCACCAGTGATATCTTTTGTATCTGTAACATTTATATCGTTGATAATAGCTGAAACAATGTTCAAAGAACGGTTTGGAGCGAAAATGGCTATTTTGTTGCTAATTTGCAGGAAATATCTAGAAAAAAGTTATACAGAAATTAGATAAGGGTCCTCAGAAATGTAGCTAGCTTTGTCAGTATGCGTTAGGAACAGCGACAAAGTGGAACTGCCTCTCTCTCTGCAGCTAAAGCTATGGATAGAAAATGCTACGGGCTATGCCTGAGCGTGAACGCGCATGAAGCAGCCTGCTCGACCCGAGCAGCTCTCTTTTTCTGTGATTTTACAGAAAAACAGGCAATCACAGTAAAAATGCCAGGGCTCATTCTACAGGACCAGGGCATTGCAGGAGAATGTATGAAGAAGAAATTTATTATTTCTATACATGTTTTGGCTGTCAAACTTCCACAATGCCCCTTTAAAAACACAAACTTACCATGTGCACCTTTATGCCAAACATTAGATTTCCACTTTTGTCATTATTCACATTTAATTTTGACATGAGTTTGTTTCCATCTTGAGTTTTCAGTCTGTGTCTCAATCATTTGCTCAAAGCATGTGCACCTCAGAGCGTAATACTCAGTTCCAGCAGTAGGTGTCACTAACCCAGTAAAGAAATTGATATTCTGTTTTGAACATTTTTATCCTATTAAAGAGAACAAATAAACACATCTTACTGCAGCAGCTACAGGTACAATTTCAGCTCTATCCTTAGAATTCCACAGTGAGCGTGTGTGGATGAGGATGCAACACATTTAACAGTAGCAGGGGTGCTTTCAGCCAGCACCCCAGAGGCATTCAATTCTGTGTTGCTGATTGGCTAAATATTCTCCAGTTCTTCCTAGAAACCAGATATGATTGGCTGTTTAGCTGCAGCTCAGGGGCGCTTTTTCCAGTGCCCCATGGGTGATGTTAGGGAGTCTGTTGGAGGAAATTTACTGTTTAAAGTGGCAGTGTGTTGTTTCCTGCTGCTAGTGGGCAGTATATACATTTCAGGGTAGTTTTACACCATATCGTTGTGACTGTTGCTAGTTTAAAAAACAGCATTACGGTAAATGTTGTTACCTGTGGAGCAGAAAGCATGCAACCTTGGTATGACTCCTCAGACTTTGATGGTCCTTCAGGTAATTCCATGGAGAGAATGCAACGCTGATGCTAGTTTTCTGGCACTGTAGTTCCCGGATCTACTAGGAGTCCTGCGCCTGCTGATGACATCATCATCCTACGGCAATACCGCTCTCTCAAAATATATTGCATCTCTTTTTCGATTCTGTTCTTTCCCATGTTTTGGAAATAGTTAAGCAGTTTTTTTCTTACTGCCTAAATATTTTTGAATGTCGTAACATAACATTCGTAAGTCGTACGTACAGCCCATTATCTAGTGTGATGCCATCGACAGGCGTAGGACCCTGAGCCGACCAGACGTCTAATATGGCATCCCCCAAAGATGCTAGACCCGCACCCTATGGACTTTAGACCCGATTTTTATGTTTATATGGTACAAAGCAGCCAGTATTTTTCAACAACTGGATATCTTTTTATTCATTTTCAACAACAGTTCGATGGATATTTCCAGAGATTAACGGTAAAAATACACAGTCTCGTTCATGAGACAGCTGGTGAAAATGATGGGTAAATATTTCACATTGCACACAGGCACACATAATTGAGCATATTATAATAAATACATATATTGTATATTTTTTCTACTTACTAATTTATTTTCCATTTACATCATGGAAGGCTGCACCTTAGCGCCCCCTATGGACAAGCCACCACTCGATGTCAAACGTTTAAGTGTGGTAACAAATCAGAAATACTCTGAGGGTCAAATACGTTTTCATAGGACAATTTTTGTTAGACCAATTTTCTGCTTGCATGTTGATCATTATAATGTTTTTCACATAGAAAATTTGAAGGAAGCAAAAACACAACAAGCATGAATAAAAACATTTGCCTAAAACCAGCAGATGCTTGTGTTTTTCTTTTTTCTCAACTCTTGGTTGTTGTTGCTGTAGCTCTGGGATATTTTCATGTGTGGTGAACTCCGTTTTGTTTTTGATTCCACGCGTCACTGCTCTTATTAATTGGAGGAACTGCTCTTTTTGTCTTTGTACAGATGGAGGACAGTGAGGAAGAGGCACAAGAAGTTGAAGCAAACGAGGAATTCAACGTCATGCCGCCGTACTCCGAGAAGGACTCCAAGTCTGAGTCGGGTGCCAGAGGAAGTCAGCTAGGAAAAGCTGGCCAAGCAGGACTTTCATTGCCATTACTGCTGCTGCCAACTCTCATCCTGGGCTGGGAGCGTTGGAACCACTGAAGCTCCAATCTTATTGTCAGCTTACATTTTACAATCGCTGCCGTCGTCGAATCCATTGCAGCACTCGCAGTGAACCGCGGAGGACAGACACGGAGAAGAAAAGTACATTCTCATAATATTTGTTTTTCTTCTCTAACAGTTTTTTTAATATCCCAACTTTATTATTGTTTTTTTTTTCTTCCTGAGGCATCTTGAGATTTACAAGATACAAGCCATCCTTTAATGTGTTAGCTGAAGTCACCCTCCCTGAAAGGAAGAAAGAGAACAACATGACCAGATAGGAGTGCATGTACTGAAAAGTGCTGCTTGGGCAAATGCTTTATCTCGAGCCTTCTTCGAAGTACAAAGTACTGTTCTTTTAACGAGAAGCATATCGCCCAAGGCTACATACACCATACATGCTCTCAAAAAACCACATTCGCTCTGCTGCAGCTAGACTGAAGCCCAGCTTGTGATTTCTATTTCATGACTCATGTCACATCCGTCCCTCTGCTGTTCCCTTTTCCTTTCCCATCCATCACGCTGCTGTTTGGTAAAATAACCCCCTTTACCACCAACTAATATAAAAGGAAAGCCACATTTAAACCGCTTTATAAAAATAAAAAGGAACTCTAAAATTTTCCTCGGTCTAGAGACAAGGATACAAGTCAAACTAATGTGCTGTGTTCTTTTTAAATGTTTTTTCTGACTTTGTGCACCCAAAAATAGCAGATTCACCTTTTTTGTTAACACCACTTAGTATTATTCCTTCTACGCTGCGTGGCTGAGAACTCAACCACGGGCAAAAGTAATGAGATCAGATTCCATTGTTGAAAACGGCGTGGAGAGGAAAGCAACATAAGCAATTACAGCACAATTCAAATTGCTTGCATGCAGGGGGAAGTCTGGAGCAATGCTCACGGGAGAAAAAAGCCAATTTACTGCTGTCATAGCCTCTCACTTTTTATCCTTAGGAGATCTGTTTTTAGTGCTCCTTTCCTCGACATGTACTTCAGATATTTTGAGTGCAAATTGAAGCGATAGGGATGGACACACGAGGCTGTAAAGCCTACTGGCTGCTATGATCATTGAGCAGCACATTTAGCCATTCTCTCTGCCTGAAATATCTTTTGCTGATGTTAATGGCTTTTTCCTCTGATGCCTCATTTTCCTGTGAAATTAAGGAGCTGCAAGGATGGAGGTAAAGAAAAGTACAGTCAAGTTTTCCTGGAGGGACAAACTTGTCTAGTCTGATGAGGAGTTCGTGGGAAATAATCAGTCAGAGCTCTGGAAGTATTTTTTGAAATTGCTTCATCTTGTGGATTAATTGTGGCTTCAGATTTGTATTTTCGAAGTCTTTGTATGCAATGCCATGGTTGAATAGAAAAGTTTCTCTGAGGCTGTTTGAGGCATTTTAGGTGTCTCTGCTGGATTTGTTTACATGGTGGTTTATTAACATGAAGGCTGGCCGCTGGAGTTTGTGTGCAAAGGAATGAAGGCACAAACACACTGGATGTGTTCCCTGCCACTCTGAGTCCAGATCTACTGTACTTTTGATTTTCTGGACTTCGATGTTAAACTTTAATTGGATGTTGTGTGGTCAGTAGACGTTCAGTGACTGTTGCTTGCTTTAAGGCAATGTGACATCATGCTGTTCTTTTTTCAACCGTCTTCATTGAGAACGCTTTGAGGTGTTTGAGACTATGGTCAGTTTGCCTGACTTCAGGCTTAGTGGATGAAACATGCTTGGATACAATAGTCAAACTGGACAACAAGCTAATATTGCATTAACTTGACCTCAAAAATGACAAAGCAAACATGCTAAAAGTACATCCTCCATCATGAGCTCATAGCATCATCTGTCATCTTTGACCAAGAACTAACATTTGCAACTATCCAAACAGGTGATCTCACGGCTCCAATAAAAGTGTGCATGGTATTAGCTCAGTCAGTCTAAACCTTCAGCAGTTCCCCAGCCACAGCAGCATTTGTCTGATGTGTTTATATTCAAACAGGAGTGTCAACTGGACTATAACACAGTCAGATGCTCTTTGTTATCATTAATTAAACCTAATCTGTAGACTGGGCTGTTTAAAAGCTACTGGTCAAGACACTTCTTATTTTTCCTGGCCAATCATGTTAAATGGCCTCATGAAAGGTGTGGTTCACTCATTTATTCAACACATTTGCAGTGTTCTCTAGTGTAAATCAATGCCTTATGAGTCATTAAAAAACAAGCCCCTGTTCTTAGATGCACCTTGGTTGTGATTGGCTAACAGAATGCCTTCAGCCATGTTGCAAAGTCACCATCACCACTCCCCCCCCCCCTCTCTCTCTCTCTCTCTCTCTCTCTCCCTCTCCTCACAACAAAATTAATTAAAAAATAGAAACAAGCCTTCCTCTGGGCAGGTGCAAGTCTAGAAAGGCGAGGCCATGAATGCAAATCCACAGTGTGACGTAGATCTGTCAGGATTTTCTAATCCTAGAGTTTCACTGTCTATTTTCTAACAGAGGCTAAAGCAGGAGATAGGTGTAGGAGACGATTTTCATGTTCAGCCTGCATGAAAAGCTCAGACTGACCGATTATAGTCAGAACTAACAATTAAAGCTGTTTTTTTTTTCAGTCAACCACACCCTTGAACTGTGATGAAATTCTAAAATGATGCGTCAGAGAACATTTTACTCTGCTGCAAAGAGACCAGACGAAGAAGCAATCCCAAGCTTCCACTTGTGCAATATTCCAGAAAGACATCCCATTTGAAAAACACAAGCACATTTAGCCGTTTAATCTGTAATCTGGTTCAAAGTTATAGGAACAAAGCTTATATCATATGCATACCTGCATTTTTAATGGAGTTGTGTGATATCACTGCAACCTGACTGAATGATTAGAAAGTTAGCCTTGGGGCTAAAAATATTACAGGTCGAGGTCTAAAACTAATCTGGTGATTAGAGATGGAGCGATGTGATGGCGTGTTCCGGCCTCAATGATTCAACATGAGTTTACTTTTTTTTTCACATCTCAGAAGGTTTGTTTATATTTGTAAACTATGTAAAGTTGATGTTTGTGATAGACATGGGTTTCATTCTCCATGCGTAAATCTAAATCTTGTAAATATTTCCCAGGTTAGGCCATCTGTAGTTTGTACCCTGAAGGTGGTGAGACTCTGTACAGTACTATTTCACATGTGACCTCACTTGTAAAAACACCAAACGTGACAAAAGATTCTGACTTTAACATGTAATGACTGTGTAAGATTGTGCCATAGCAAAAAGTACGACAGTTTGTTCAAGGAATAAAAGTCTCATTGGAAATGTTATTGTCTGACAAACGCGTGCTTCCAGCCCAAAACAAGCCTGCTCTTTTTAAAAGGAGGACATTTTTTTTTCTCGGCTAAATTTCTGTACTATTTTATAACACACGGGTTTGCTGGTGAGAAAATGTCAGTTTCAGTCTAAATTCATTATATAATTAGTCAAGACTAGAAATAAATGCACCCATACATTCATTTTCTTAGTTTGAAACTGGATTTGTAGTAAGACATTAATTTTTTCTTCCTGGCTCATATTGTTAAACCAAGTCAGGACTTTTGAATCTATATTTCATTTTTGACTGCAGCGATTACAGGGGTTTTAATGGCTTAGCAGTGGAATTATAGAATGAAATAAAAAAATAGAGTAAAATAAAAGTTGCAATAGATTCTGGCATCAGTCTACAGTTTAATTATGAAAAGTGCTGGGTGAGGACTCTGGGGCTTTGTTTTTATGTCCAAACCCAGCCAGCTGTCTATGGCTTTAAGCTACACTTTAGTAATCCCCAGAGGGAAAAGGGGAATCGACTAAAATGAACCCATTTTATTTATTAGCGCAGCCACCGAAGCTCCCGGGAAGTTCTCCATGCTCTTACTGCAAATCACTGAAATTAAAAGCACAGCTAAACTTCAGAAAAACAATGTAACTGTTACTGATGCCAGGAAAGTTTAGATTCAAAAGCTCAAAGGATGAAAGCAGGAAAAGATTCTACAGCAACGTGAACTCAGTTGTGTCAAAGGATGAGGAGCCTTGCCCCGGCTTTCCACAGCAGCCGTCAGCAGCACGTTACTGCAGCAGCACGTCATAGCTGCTGATAGGAACCGCTGTGGTCAACAGAACCTTTTCCACTGGAGCCGTCAGCAGCGCGAGTCGGCCGCGTCTCAGGAGCAGCATGTCGCGGCCTTTACGCGCCGGTTCTATTTCCTACGCGCGACGCCTCTGAAACGGGTCAAGTTCGACATTTTTGGGGAAGGAAAGACAGGAAATCGGACGCGGAAATGGAGAGAAGCTCCCGAGATTTTCAGAATAAAGAACGTACTGCCTTCCGGTCGCTTTACTTTAAAAAAGGTTACTAACTGTGCGTCCCCGTGAGAAGTTATCACCTGGCTAGCGGTCTCCTTTGTTTTTCAGGTCCGTATTGGCGATTATAAAACGGACAGAATATAAAAACACAAACATTTTGGAGCCATGTTGTAGTTTTCTCCTGCTTGTTGTTGTGTTTACTGACGAAGTCACTCGTGTGACTTCGTGCCCTGTCGGTGACGGCTGCTCCTCTGCTTCGTCGCGTCTCGTGGGAAGGGCCAAGCAGCAGCTAGACGTGCTGCTGCAGTAACGTGCTGCTGACGGCTCCCGTGGAAACCCGGGGTAAGTCTCCTGCCTTTCCGGTCGGCTCATGGGTTCCCAGAAGAAGGAAAGAACGAATGCAAGTCAACGGGGCTAGAAGAGCGACACATTCTCACATCCGAAGCGTCGAAACATGACGATGGGTGACCAAGCATTTCTTTCCGACGCGTTGGGAGGCGACTCACTGTGCCAGAGCGTCATTTTCCGACTCCTGCGGTAAAACTGAGATTTCACCAATTTCTGACCTTTACCCTCTTGCTACTTCCCCTCACCCCCATCCTAACCTTAACCTTCTTGCACATTCAAAACTTTGTTTCTAGTTGTAACGTTCCTCTCCAACAGGGTTAACGGGAAGTTTAGAATGAGAAACCGGGTTACGGTTAGGAGGCGGGTGAGCGGAAGGTTAATAGCAAGAGGTTAGAGGTTAAATGTCAGTTAAATGCGCTTTTACCATGGGCTCGGTGTAATGTTAATAAAGGATTATGTAAATTGCTTTAAGAGCTTAATGTATTATTAACACCACTTGTGACCAAAAGCTGTGATACTCAATTTAAATATGGAACATCACCTTGCCTGATCTTTATTCGGTTTAGTCAGAAGATTCTAGGATTCTTTTATTCATTAAGGGATTGCACACTCTTCGTTTTGGTTCAAGAAACAGTCAGGTGTATAAAAATAAGAATTTATTTTACAAACAATTAAGACTTGACAAATTAACTAAACTATCATTTACTGTGAGTGGATGCGAACTAAAGGATGGTGTCTGGAACTTGTGTGAATGTAATGTAATGGAGTCAGAATCTCCGTTTCTCAGAGAGCTGAGTTCTGGATGGAAAGAATTTGGTTTGCAAATAAGCTATAAAGTTGTTATTAAAACCACATACAGACGCTATCTCACTGTGTTCTACCTCACCCGTTCTGGAGACCCCCGTTTGAATCCGAGATGTCAAGGAGCCGACGACCCCAATGCACTTAGTTCGTAGAGAAACCTCGATGCGACCAAATCAGTCCTGAAATGTCTCCGGGTCAAAACGATAGATGAAACCGAGCATCTTAAAAATAACTCTGAAGGAGTTTGCGTCAGTTTTGTTCTGCAGGAATTATCTTGTTGTTCTCAGCTTCGCAGGTGCGAAAAAGGTTTGAAAAGGTTTTGACAGGCGTGCCAAAATCCTTGCTGGTTAAAGAGGTTATGCTTAGATGGCCGGTCTAAAACTTTTCCTCTAGAACTCTCGAACTCTCAAACTGTTCGAACTGAAGGAAAAGCCAGAGTAAACTAGTTTTAATGGATTGATGTTATATTGAATAGCCAACAAAAAGTTGACAAGTTTGAGGATATTACCAAGCATCTCAGAGACACACCCTCTTTGATCTGGAGACTATGAATCTGGGCAAAAGGTTAACTATGTGTCATGCGTTAACTTTACTCTGTCTTTGTGCCAGTGTAAATGTTATGACCTTGTCCAGTAAACATGCTAAGCATTTCATTAAGCACAGATTAATGAAACATTTCATTCATTATAATTATTGTAAGTAGCAATAACAAAAGTTCATTCAATGATTATTTTTAATTATAAAATCTTCTTTCTTCTTTCATCTTGGAATAAAGGAGTTTATTTTATGAGTTCATCTGTCAAGGGGACCTTGGTAAGAGAGCATGTTATTGTTTTACTTATTATCTCTGAGCTGCAGTCCAGCTGGTGTGAGGAAGCAGGCTCTGATTAAAGGGACTATGTGCAGACTTCCAGTCTCCTGTGAGGGGAAAAGATCGTAGGTTGTGTCATAGCCAGGGGTAAGTTTGGCTGTGAATTTGACCTGTGGGATCTCAAAATCAGGCCATTTTGTGATGTGACATCGGAAACCGATGCTCTGGCACAGCGCGTCGTCTCCCAATATATGTCAAATCCATGGTACATAACACACAGGATTAGAAAGTAGCATTTTTAGCCTCATTGACTCACATTCATTTTGTCTTACTTACGGGGACCCGTGGTCCCGAAGTAGATGGGCGAGACTTAGTCTCCTTATCCTTCCTCTCCTGATGTAACAGACTTTAAAATGGCTGTAATGTGATCCATTTTTTTATCCTTCCCATGGGCTCACCATTTGTGGGAGGGGCCAAAAGGGTGCACTGTGGGTGGCAGCCGAAGGCGAGAACCTTGGCGGTTTGATCTGGGCCCCCTTCATCTGAATTTTGTGCTTGTCATGGATTGTCCAAAATAAACACTATGTTTAGGCATAAGGGTGTCATGCTCTATGGGCACCAGAATACCTCGATGACTGACTGTTGTCTAATCTGATCTGCGGCCGCATTTTTTTGACACCCAGGTGACGAGAGGGGCGGATGTTTTCACAGAAGGTTTTTTTTTTAATAAGCCTGTTTGGCTGGTGCCCACTTGACCAATTGGTGTCCTACGCACAGTGATGCAGGTAGCCGGAGTACCAGCGCTGTCAGGGGCAGTTCCACTGGATAGGCAGACCAGGGTGGTGGTCCCCCATTTAAAAAGGGGAACCGCATGATTTGTTTGAAATACACCCATGGGCCATGGTAAGGTCTATTCAGGGGTGCTGGAGAGGACCTCTATCATTTCCACTGGACGACCACACTGTCTCTGCACGAATATCAAACTGTCTCTCTGACATATCAAAATGGATGAAATCCCACCATCTCCAACTCAACCTCTCTAAAACTGAACTACTTGTAATCCCAGCAAAACCATCCATACAGCACAATAACTCAATCCAAAATGACTTCCTGTCTCTGGCTCCTTCAAAGGAAGTTTTAAATCTGGGTGTTGTTATTGATGAACACCTGACCTTTAAAGATCATGTTGCCTCTGTTGCTCATTCATGCCGCTTTGAGCTGTATAACATACGAAAGATCCGACCATACCTAACACAACATGCCGCCCAGCTCCTGGTGCAATCTACTGTCATCTCCCACCTCGATTACTGCAATGCCCTTCTAACTGGTCTTCCAGCCTGTACTGTGAGACCTCTTCAAATGGTCCAGAACGCAGTGGCGCGTCTGGTCTTCAATCAGCCAAAAAGAGCACGCATCACCCCTCTGTTCATTGAGCTCCACTGGCTACCGCTAGCAGCACGCAACAAATTCAAATTGCTAACACTAGCATACAAAGTCCGAGATGGTACGGCTCCCATCTACCTGAATCCTCTTGCAAATGCTTACGTCTCGGCCCGGCCACTCCGGTCATCACAGGATCATGGGCTAGCAGTGCCTACACCACGCTCAGGACAATCCAGACTCTTCTCATGCATCGTTCCACAAATGTGGAATGACCTTCCAAGCACTACCAGAACAGGGGCTTCCTTTTCAATTTTCAAGAAACTCCTGAAGACCCTGCTCTTCAGAGAGCATCTTCTAAACTAGCACCCTCCCTGCACCCATCCCCCCTTTCTACTGTCCACTCCTTGTTCCCTCCTCTCCATGATTGATGTCAAGTTGTTGTTGTTATTGTTGTTGTTAGCCTCAAGGGCAACATGCCGATTATCACTTGTAAGTCGCTTTGGACAAAAGCGTCTGCTAAATATATAAACATAAACTACATGAGACTTCAGTCCTGTGGTCTTGATCTGTTTGCTTTTTAAGTGACCAGACCTCTTTGCAATCTCATTGTTGTTCAAGTTATCTGAATGTCTTCTAAAG